GTATGGATAACAACAAATTTCATTAATAATATCAAGAATGTTTAAAACATGACATTGATATAAGGATTACAACACAATGTTCAGCTCACTCTTCCTTAAAGTTAAATATTTGTTCTTCCTTTGGAAGTTTAGGTTGATTGGTCCCATAAAGTGCTAATATAAGTGATAGCTAAAATCTTTTCTGGTTGATAAAGAAATATCTTTGGTTCAGTTATCAATGAGAGACAAACAACAATGAATAAAGGCAAGAACATTCCTAATTATACCTTGATCGTAAATAATGTTTTTAGTTGGAGAACAAACCCAATCATAAGGCCATGATCTTCAAAGAACATTTCAAAAAAAATATTTTTGATGCTCCTACATGTAATTTTATTGATTTGATTATATATAAAGAAAACGATTTTTTGTTTGAAATGGAAGTGTTTGATCATTGGCCTCCTTAATATGCACTCTCCCTAGTTCTCAATGTCCATCCCAATTTAGAGGTCAAGATCAATAAATTGCTTTTTGTTAAACGATGATGATTCACTCGCTCCTTATATTTTTATAATTATGATGAAGGGTCTTTTCATTGTAACAGAGACTAGGAAAGAGAATATACTCCAAGGTGTAACTCACTTGAGTAAATGGGATATGATCTCGCATATGCATTATGCATACATGCTATCTTTAAAATCTATTAACGAGCCCATTGAATGGTACAGGAAAATGATTGTATGGAAGGGAAAAAGGGTTCCACAAACATGAAATCTTGGCTTAGATGTAACTTTTATAACAAATAATTATGAAATTATGAGAGCTCTTATGTGATAGTGGCCACATCTTATTATTTCATTTCTAGTACATGTACACAAAAAATAATATATATTGTATCGATCGGTTAAAAAAACCCTTGTTTTATTTCATGTACTTTGTGATTTGTGATGAGTAAGTACTAAGTGTATCCTTTTTTAATTAATCTTCGATTGATTGTTATATCAGCTTTATGGCATTGTACATTTTCAAATACCTCCATATCTATCCATAAAAAGATTTAATAATTATGAGACGCGACTTCAAAGACACAAGACTCAATTTCTTTATTATTGCTTCGTCAACTTCTAGGGCCAATCACAATGGTGGTGCTTTCCATATGAGTGTCGACCCTTAGAAGGAAAGCAAACACTTTCGCTTTATTTATTTGTTTACTTTTATGATTGATTGATCAAATTTATTCATATTGTAATATTTGTTTTGGATACATAAAGTTTAACATGGATATTTTGAATGTCATCACATTCTAAGACTACTAACATTTAAGACTTAGCTTCAAAAAAGTGAAAATTAGGACTCCATATAAACTTAGCTTGGAAGTGACAGTTCTTATAATATTAGCTTGGAAGTGACAGTTCTTATAATATTGTGGGTTATTTATTTGTACCTTAACATTTACGCACAACTAATTAAGAAAGTATAAGAGTTTTTATGCGATTTTGGCCACGTCTTGTTCTTGTATTTATTGTATATTTACACAATGTATAATGTCTCTCGCGTTGAGTGGTTGACAAAGCCCTTGTTTTATTTCATGTAGTTCGAAATTTGTGATGAATATGTACTAATTAATATTCTTCTTTATTAATTAATCTTTGGTTGGTTGTTAAAAAGCACTTAAAACATTTTATATTTTCAAAGATCTACATATCTGGTTATAAAATGATTAAATAATTATGATATGTGACTTTAAAGCTATACAACAGGATTTCTTTCTTATTGCTTGGTCGAATTCTAGGGCAACCACTTTGGTGGTGCATTCCATATAGGTTTCGACCATTGGAAGGCAAGAAAACACTTATATTTTATTCCTTAATTTGTTTATTTTTGTGCTTGATTGATCAAAGTCATTCATATTGCCACATTTGCTTTGGATGCATAAAGTTGGACATGGACATTTTGAATGTCATCAAGATAAGACAATGAACGTTTAAAATTTTGCTTGGAAAAAAATGAAAACTAAATCTCCTAGTCTACTTTGATTGGAAGTGGTGGTTCTTACAACATAGTGGGTGATTTGGTGGTACATTAACATTTAAACATTGATAATTACGAAAGATTGAGAGTTTTTATGTGATTATGGCCATGTCTTATTTTTGCATTTCTAATCGATGTACATAAAGTATAATGTCTCTTGCACAGAATGGTTTAAAAAGCCCTTGTTTATTTCATGTACTTTGAGATTTTTGGTGAGTAGGTACTAAGTGATATTCTTCATTTTTAATTAATTTTCAATTGGTTGTAAAAATATTTAACATATTGTAAATTTTCAATGAATCTCAATATCTAGGTATAGAAGGATTAACTAATTATGATATGAGACTTAGAAGCTACACGACTAGATTCCTTTATTATTGAATGGTCGTCTTCTAGGGCCAACCATTATAATGGTGCCTTCCATTTGGTTTTCAACCCATGGAAGGCAAACAAACACTTTTGTTTTATTCCTTTTTTTTTTTTGCTTTATTGATCAAATCCGTTCATATTGTCATATTTGTTTTGGAAGCATAACTTTACACATGGACATTTTGAATGTTATCACATTTTAAGACTACTAACATATAAGACTTCACTTGGAAAAAGTGAAAATGAAGCTTCCTTATCGACTTTTCTAAAAAGTGGCAGTTTTTACAACAATATGAGTGATTTGTTGGCACCTTTAACATTTAAGCACAAACAATTGTGAAAATATGAGAGTTTTTATGTGATTGTCGCCACGCATTATACTTGCATTTTTATTAGATGTACAAAAAGTATAATGTCTCTTGCGTCGAGCTGTTGAAAACCCCATATTTTATTTCATATACTTTGATATTTATGATGAGTAAGTACTAATTGCTATTCTTCAATTTTAATTAATCTACAATAGGTTGTTAAAAAAGCATTTAAGACATTTTACATTTTCAAAGATATCCATATTTGGCTATCAAAAGATTAAACAATTCTGAGACGACATTTCGAATCCACACAACTTGATTTCCGTCTTATTGCTTGATTTGGAAAATCATTTTTATATAATTTTCTATACATATAAAACATAAAGCAAAAGAACTTACACATGTATTTAACTTTCTATGCACATTTATACATGTATATAAAAGTATATATTTGTATACACATTCATGTAATTGCTTGATTTGGAAAAGCATTTTTATATAATTTTTTATACATATAAAACAAAAAGCAAAAGAACTTACACATGTATTTAAGTTTTTATGCAAATTTATACTTGTATATAAAAGTATATATTTGTATACAAATTCATATATGAATTTACATCAGCAGATACATAGACATAAACAATATATATATATATATATATATATATATATATATATATATATATATATATATATATATATAGGTTTAGGTTCTATGGAAAACAAAAAACCCTAAAAATCATAAAAATGTATTAAAAAAAATACTTAGAGATTACAAAACTTTTTTTTGATATTTTTTAAGAAAAAATCGCAGCTTTTTATAAAAAATCGATGAAAAAAAATAATTTTTTTTTTTGTAAAAAAAAAAGTTTTTTTTTCTCATATTTTTTTCAGCGATTTTCTTTAAAACTCTATGCTTTTTTCTTAAAACATGTCAAAAAAAAGTTTTGTGATCTCTAGGTATTTTTTTTATGTATTTTTACGATATTTAGGGTTTTTTTGTTTTCCAAATAACCTTTCCATATATATATATATATATATATATATATATATATATATATATATATATATATATATATATTATATATATATATATATATATATATATATATATATAAATGTAAGTGTGCCTCCTGGTACACATTTTTAAGACCTTTTATATGTACATATGTGAAAGTTACTTCTTTCACTTTACTTATCTAACGGGTAAATAATTATAAAGTAGTTACTTTAACAAATCAAGTAATGAGAAATGAATTAGTAGGTACTTCTAGATCTCGTTTCTTTATTAATTACTAGATGCATATCCATATGTTTCACATAATAAAACTTTATACTTAAAATTAGTCAAATATACGTTGAAAATAGTTAGCTTATTAACATTGACTATACATATTGAAAATAGTTAGCTTATTGTTATTGACTATGAAATAATAACTTTTTACATTAATTTTTTATATAAAATTGTAATTATTTTGGACCAAATGATAATATCTATTAAAATCATATAATTTAATAGCCACTATTCATTACTGTTGTAAATAAAACTAAATAAAATTATAATAATAGTTAACTTATTGATAATGACTACACACATTGAAAATAGTTAGCTTATTGATATTGACTATGAAATAATACTTTTCACATTATTTTTTATATAAAACTATAATGATTTTGGACCAAATGACAATATCTATTAAAATCATGTAGTTTAATTGCCGCTACTTGTGATTGTTGTAAATAAAACAAAATATAATTCTCGATTTAATGTTATTTTTAAGATAATGTATAATTACTTTAGAAATTATTTAGTGGACATTTTATATAAGGTAATATAATGTAATTTATAACTTTATGTTATTTTTAACTATTATTGTTGTTAATAAATTTAATTATTAGGGGAAAATTAATACTCATGAGGGTTTCAAATAAATGTAGTGCAACTAAAAATGTTTTTTTTATAAGTATATATAGATATAGATATAGATCTTATATTGATTAACAAACCATGATGAGATTTGAATTTAATGTGATATATTAAATGTAGGTAATATCTCAACCATAGAAAGACATTTAAAAATGTCTTTTAGTCATTAACTATGATGGATTAAATTATATATTTTCTGGTAATTAATATTATGACGATAGGTATAATTAATAGCAATAAATTCATGCCAACCATAGGCTTAGGTGGCAACATATATCATAGTTTTCCACCCTCAGTTAGCACTTGCACTCTCTTAAGACCAACCTATACTTCCTTGTCCTTCTATCTTTTGGGGTTTCCTAAGAAAAGTTAGTAACAAAATGTCCATCAACATCCAACAATCGCAGTTAGAGAATACTACCAAGTTGGATGTTATCGACCCTTTATTCAATGATCAGGTAAAAGAAAATATATTGTTGATGTGAATTCTTAGAAAATTATGTATTTAAAGATTTTTGCTATAAGAGTGAAGAAGATATTGATCAATTATCACATTAGATGTCAGATGTGACTGAATTACAAAGAGTGATCATTTTAAAAGGAAACTTAAGTCTTTGATTTGATAGTTTCAAGGAAGTGATTGTGCTAGTTATTATATGTAGATGTATAGAGAAAAATTATAGTTATACCACACACGTCAAAAGAACTTTGTGAAGGAAACCAAATAGGTTTTCTTGAATCAGGTGATTATATATATATATATATATATATATATATATATATATATATATATATATATATATATATATATATATATATATATATATATGTTCAGGTTCATTTGAGACCATTCTAATTTTGTGAGACCGTGAGACCAAATCTAAAAATAATTTTAAAATGCAAAATAAATGGAAAAATCCAAAAATTCTTTTTTTAAATATTATTTTCGGAACTTGAATTAACTAAAAAAATATAAAAAAAATAAAAAAAATTCCGTTTTTTTTTTTGAAAAATACGTGAAATATTCTAAATAGAATATTACACTGACATATTCTAAAAAATAATTTTAAAATGCAAAATAAATGGAAAAATCTAAAAATTCTTTTTTTAAATATTATTTTCGGAACTTGAATTAACTAAAAAAAATAAATAAATAAAATAAAAAAAATTCTATTTTTTTTTAAAAATACGTGAAATATTCTAAATAGAATATTACACTGTACATATTCTAAAAATAATTTTAAAATGCAAAATAAATGGAAAAGTCAAAAAATTCTTTTTTTAAATATTATTTTCGGAACATGAATTAACTAAAAAAAAATAAAAAAATGCGTCTCACGGTCTCACAAAATATAGGTGGTCCCAAATGAACCTAACCCTATATATATATATATATATATATATATATATATATATATATATATATATATATATATATATATATATATATATATATATATATATATATATATGTGTGTGTGTGGTTTTCAGGCATCTTTTATGTATTGTTTATGCCTCCAAATGGTTTAATCGTATGTATTAGCAAATGCGATGCATTTCCTAGTACCACCTTTCGTCGTATGATGTGTATAATCCATAGTTCTGCTATATGTCTTTTACTTTATATATATTAATAAGTAAGTAAGTTGGTTATGATTAATGCAGGAATGTCATGCCAATGACACACAAGAAAACTGTAACATGGTTATTACAGATGCAATCCCAGTCTCTTACTGGAATCCTGAACATGTAAGTGGGTAGATCCTAATACTATTGTTCTGGTATTATTTATTATGGAAAATGTTAATACATTTATAGCCACTTTTGTCTTTATATAAAACACACAAAATAAGTTGTGGTCCTAGTCCGTAGATTTTCATTACAGCTTGATCAAAACTTATATTACGTATTAAAGAACAGTGACCTTCTACTTTAAATGTACTAACCAGTTTATGTCTCCTTTAGAAGTATTTCGTGAATGATATCAGAAGATAGAACTCGAACCACATTTCATCACCAAACATATACTAAGTTGAGAAATGTCAAGGGGAAACTTAATTAGTTTATTAGATTCATTTTCTAGCTAAAAAACTAGAATTATAACCCCTTTTAGTGAAAGTACTTAAATCTTTTGCACACAAGAGTCATGTATGTTATTCAGTATTTTATAAATATTGAGTTTTATACTAGTTGGAAGAATTACCACATCATATTAATGACATAACACTCGATCATGTTAGTTCATTCTCTATAGAGTTCAGATTTTCAAGTTCTAAACAACAATTTCATAACAAAAACAATATTTTCTTGAAATGTCTAGCTTTAAATAATAATTAATCTAATTTGTAATTATCCTAGATATTTCATTACGTCGTTTATATGCAATAAAAAACTAAAAATGAAAGGCATAAAATATGATGTAGGACAATCACTCAGTTGAAAATAAGCGAAGGCGTGTATCCACTGAATTAGAGGAAGAAATACAGAAGGATTTCAGCATTTGGGAATTATTTAAAACCGAGAACATTGAAGAGGTAACCTTTATTTCTTTACCATTTCTATAGAGAAGTAGCTAGATGTATGTTGGTGAGTTTTAATCCCACTCTATTATATTATCAAGAGTAAACTTGGTAATGTTCTATTGAATACACAAAATAAGATTCTATTTTCCAAGTTAGGGTGACCAAATCCTAACTGCTACTAGAGCATGTCGACTTAAATCTCTTTCTAGTTCCTATTTTAATTTTTGGTTTTCTATATTACTTTTTTGTACAATCCATTCGAACAAATTATATACAATCTTGCTATAGATTAATGGTGAAGCTATAGATCCCCAAAAACTTCAAAAGAATTTAAAAGGATGGAAAATTGAGAAGCGAAGGCGTTGTGGAAGCAATGCAAATGAAAGAAAGGACCAGGTATTATATATTTTTAGATTCAATAACTATATTAATATGCTTCTCAATCATGATTTAAATATACATTCTACAGTTTTACTGTCATGAAATTTCTAAAAGAAAACTTAGATCGCTAGTGGAAGTAAGAAGATGCGTGGAGGAGAATTCATATCTGAGAAAGGAATCGGATAATCCTGAAGACTCAAAGGTTAGCTTATAAATTTATTTATGTTTTCAACCCTTTCATTAGATCCATGAAGTTGATTGCATGATTTGAAATAGGATTGTGACGTTGTACAAAAATTAGTTATATGTTCTTTATTTATCAAAAAAATTATTATTATGAAATTGAATTCCATGATCTACTCAGAATACCAAACTTCATCAACATTTTGTTTCAAGGGAATCCTATATAGAATAAGTTTAGAGGAATATATAAAAAGATTCAATGTTAGGAAACAAATTAATAGATTCACACAAGCGATCATAAAAAAAATTAACAATAAAACAAATCACTATTAGTTGAGACAAAGTGGTGAATTAACTATTATATAGTTTGAGATGAGTTTTTTTGATAGAACTAAAATTGGATAAAACGTTCCATCTTTCATTTTTCTCGTAAATGTTTCCAACTACCAAGAAAACTCATATCTTAGTGCCATAGGCTTATAGTACATTCATATATATTCTCTTCTACAAATATATTTTGGAAGTCAAGAGAGCTTAGGTTTTTTATGCATTTATTTTTTTTCTTCATTTTTTTCCTTTTCCTTTTTGTTAATTTGGTTTCAAGGTTGATCTAATCGATGGGAGAAGCGTGTTGCCTAATACAACTGATGCAATTGAGAGTCATGGAAGAGTTGAAGAATTGGAGAAAGATAACAAACTTTCAAGAAAGTCAAAGCCTGTAACATGCTCTAAGTGCCATAAACAAGGACACAATGCAAGGACCTGCAAAGGATGACATGTGGTATGTGACATGCTAGTTGAAGGGTTGAAAAGGAAACAACTTATTCTAGTGGAAGTGGAAAGAAACAATAAATGATTATGATATTTTGAAATTTGGTAATATAAAGAAACACTTATTTTGGTGAAATTATGATGTTGAACGGTGAGTCTGTTTCATTGACTTTTCTTCATATAACAAACCATTTTAGAATGACTTTATTAACTCAATAGAAAATACAACATGATATGGAATAAAATTCAAGTTATAAAATTAGATCAATTAATAAAGATAAATAAGGAGTATATAAATTGCTTGTCTATTAACGTATCTTGGATATATGACCACATCCATCATCAATTGAGAACTCTCAAATTTTTTGCAGCCAAGTTTTCAGAAGATACTTCGTATTGTTCATTTTCTTGTTATAAAATTTACAATGATGTAAAAAGCTATCGTAGTGATAAATCATCACCCGAATGTATACACTTTCAAATTTCTTTAAATATTTTAGGCTATAATAACATCAAATTTCATTAATAATGTATAGAGTGTTTAAAACATGATGTGGGTAAAAGGGAAGATTTGTTCTTCCTTTGGAAGTTCAGTTAATTAGTCTAATAAAGTGCTAATATAAGTGGCAGTCATCAGTGAGGGACTAACAACATTGACTAAAGGAAGAAACATTCATAATGATACCTTTATCAAAAATGAAGTTTTCAGTTGGAGAACAAACCCAATCATAAAGCCATGATCTTTAAACTACATTTCAAAAAAAATGATGCTCTTAGTTGTAATTTTATTAGTTCGATCATATATAAGTAAAATGATTTTCGGTTTGAAATGGAAGTGTTTGATCATTGGTCTCCTTAATATGAATTCTCCATAGCTCTCAATCATGACCATCCCATCTTAGAGTTCTATATCAGTAAAATTGATTATTATTAAATTATGGTGATTTGCTGTGACATCCCCAAAATCACGGCCAGAAAAGACCGATTTTCATTTATGCTTTTAAAATAATTTCAGAGTAAATCCTTTTGATTTGAAACAGTTGCGGAATTTGTTCCCAAAAACAAAACATGATAAAACAACGTCTACCAAAGCATTTCATAAAAGAAATGTATTTTCATTATATAATCAAAACTCAGGGTGTCATGTTCCGATTCAGACCATTAAGCATAAACAATAACATTACAAGTCATTCAACAAATATATACATATACAGACTTGTAAACAAAACAACTTGATGGTTCGTCCATCTTACGCCCTTGCGCCACTTCCTGTAATACAAATAAAACTGAGTGGGTCAGGCTTGGGAGCTTGGTGAACATATAGGGTTTTCAACCCACAATAAATAAATTATATTTAATTTCACCAACCAATCACTATCCTGATTACCCATTCCCGTTATCCTCACTTTACGTCCCTAAAACAACATCTATCTCAAGGGACCTAATCTAGGATTTTCATCGGGACGGACATTACTGCTAAGGGGTTTCCTCAACAATAGATATCCTAAAGGCAACCATGAGGGGGATATAGTACACCGGTGAACACATCGTTCACAACACCTACAGGTTATGAACCTGCTAGCGTTCCACGAGACTGTGTAGAAGGAGTCTGTGTTCGTTATCCATACTCCGCTGAATAACTAGGTCAACAACAACATTGAGGCCTCTCATCTGTTTATTACACACCAACTATCTACCCATGTTCTACCCAACATATTAGTAGATAAAAATATATATTTTTATACATAGTTTAAAACCTGTATAGCATTTTCATTCAATACATATTTCACATAACAGATGAGGCATACCCACATAACACGTATTTCATAGAAAACAATTCAGATCTATGAGATTGAAAAAGTGAATATACATTCACGCACATAACAACAAAGTTATACACATAACACGTATTTCGTATAAAATACTTCATAATTATGCGTTAGAAGAAAGTAGCTACACACTCACTTGATCAGAAGATGATAAGACAACACTACGGCTTGTAGAAGTAGTAATCCTCAGCAGATCTGGAAGATCTCTACAAAACTCGAACTTCTCGCGGGCAGAGCTTCGGCTCGGAAACCGCACTTCTCGGGATCTTCAGGATCTCGGGACTTGCTTCGGGACTTGGGAATATTACCGGGGCTTCGGGGTGGCTTCGGGGGTAAAAACGTAGAGCTTCAGCACGAAACGGAGGAGAAATGAGCAACTATGCCCGGACCCCTCGCATCCTATTTATAGGAGGTTGGAACCTCCTCGTACGCGGTGCGTACGCCTGTACGCGGGGCGTACTGTTGGATTAGTGTCTAAGTCCATAACTATTTTGGTATGTACTTGACCCGATGGTGCATGGTCATTTTGGGTTGCCTTCACCAAAGCAACTTGATAGGATGAATTATGGAGAGTAAGGATTAAATATGATTTATTAATATATTATGGGAATAATATATTAAAGGAGAAATCATATTGTTTAATTAATATTAGTCAATAATTAATTGGTAATTAGTTTTGTGACTAAAAGAGATTAATTAAACTTAAGGGACTGGAATTGTAATTATAGGATAATTGCAATTTGGGCCATGGATTGCCTTATATTAAGGGATGGACAAATTCTAATGGGAAAACCATAAGGAAATCGTCCATGGGCTTAATTAAAGGAGTCTATGGGTTGCTTAGGGCTTAAGCATCCAAATTAAGGTTTCCTTGTTAGATAACCCTAATAGCCCAACTATATAAAGACCCCTTAAGGCTCAAAAACGTGGCTAAGCTTATTTTAAGGGTTAACACACGTTTTTGGCAGCCTCCAACCTCTCTCCTCTTCATCCTCTTGCTTATGGTGTTTGTGAGGCATTAGAGGAGTGACACTTGTGACTCTAAGCATTCCAAAGTCAATACAAGGAGGAATTGGGATTGTTATTGCTACATAACAATCAAGGTATGATCTTAAACCTAATTACATATTAATATGATTACTTGTATGCTAGAATTAGGGTTTATAGTCTTGGATTCAAAGCATGTACAATAGAGAAACCTAGATCCAAGCATTAGGGTTTGTATGAGCACATAGGATGTCTTATGACCAAAACCCATCAGTGGTATCAGAGCCTAGCTTGGTTTCAATTGTATTGATGCATTGTATAACTAAAAAAAATTCGTTTTTTTGGATTGTGGAGGCTGGACTCGTCGAGTCCATGGCTGAACTCGCCGAGTCCATGCCTGACTCGACGAGTCAACTCGTCAGATAGGCGGATTTTCGGGATTTTTACCTATTATGACTTAGGATAATTACCATAATTGTTTGAACTTAATAAAATTCGAATTTTATTAATCCCTTATGATTATCCTTGTCAAAATAAAAGATTTTGGTCATCTAATTAGATAATTGTTACCTTATTTGATATATGTGAAGTTATGGAAATTATTTGATCATTATCTTGCAAGAATTTGAACTAGATCTAATTAGATAACCACCAATTATAGTTAATTGCCTTATTTGAATTATGTGATCTAGAATATTCTTGACAAAGTTTGGAATAGTTTCAAATTAATCCCTTTAGGTTTTATAGTTTAAATTTGAACCCCAAAAGTTTTGTTGTTTTGAAATTTAAATAGTTAAAACCCTAATGTTTTGAAAAAGGTTTCAAAACTTGCCCTCAAGTTTTGGAATTTAAAAGTTGATTAAAAGGTTTAATTAGAAATGTTAAATTCTAAAACTCTAGTAATGTTTTGAAAAGTTCAAATCACACCCTTATGGTTTTATTAATTAATTAAGGAGTATAATTAAAAGAGGTTTAATAAATCCATAAAAGTTTAGGTTAAATATTTAATAATTAAAGTGTAATTGTTAAAGTTAACCACACAGTATTTTAAAAGTTATAAAATACACCCTATACTATATATAACATTAAAAGTCTAACATTATATATATGTATAACTAAAAGTCAGTCTTACCGTTAGTAGGCCTCATTCACGAAGCTGGTCTATAAGGGGTGTTTAAGGAAATTGCCTATAAAATGGCGATTGAATGGGTATCCACTCTTACCCACCGCACTCTTGACTAGTGGAGGGTCGTTAGCCGAACGGGTAGGATAGGACGAAACCTTCCATTATAAGTATAATGAAATACAAAGTAACTAAATGTTTTTCAAATTCCCAATCTTAGTTACTTAGGCAAAAGTGAATTGATGCAATTCCATGAAATTACACTTTGTGCCCTTGCGAAGACGTTAGTGGAGCGTGTGTGGTTTACCGGCACACTAAATGGTTCTAAGCAAAGGTAGCAAAGGGTGACTCAATGTTTGTCATAGTTCGGTGGAGCGTGTGTGGTTTACCGGCACATCGAATAGGTGATTGTAACATGTGAGGGCACCATGTAGTTTGCATGGTTATTCACACCCGCTTTGTGATCCTCGGCATCCCAGTCACAAACTAGAGGGGCATATCGAGATTTAAACATGCCATTGAAATGTTCAATGAATCTCAAAGGATCTAGGAGTTTTCATAGATTTAAAACTTAAATTTCTTTTTCGTTTTTCATGGTGGAAACTAGTGAATCGTCATTCACTTACCTTCAAATGTTCTGCAATTTGGGTTACGGCATCCCTCTCCCGAGTTGTAGGATATTGTGTTGGGTCCTAGCCTTGGAATTTCATTTGGGTGATTTACCAAGGACTCAATCAATCAACTAACTTGAATTCGTTTTTCTCCCGATGTCAAAGTTCGACAACTATGGTCTTCTCAATCCCGTGGAACAAGCATTCCACATGAAGATGATATTCCACGATTCGATCGAGGAACAAGAAATCATGCTTCACTTCCTCCTCCTCCTCCAATTATTCTCCCTAACCCACAAGATTGTAAAATTGAAAGGTTCAATATCACTCAAGCCCTTTTGGCAAGTAAACATAAAGAGGGCAAGTCGGTGTGTGCACACGTCTTAGGGATGAAGTCACACATTGATAGATTAAGAATGATGGGATCCGTTGTCGGTGAAGCGATGGCTGTTGA